TCAAGCATCAAGCATTGCCAGGGAAAGTTGAGGCAGGAAAGGTTGCCTATAGTCAGGTTCATAAGAATCTGGGCTGGGCTGGGCTGGGGATGTAGCTCAGTAGTCGGTCGGTCTCTCTCTCTCTCTCTCTCTCTCTCTCTCTCTCTCTCATTTTTGAAGACTATTAAACTATTAAACAGCACAGACTTTGCAAATGTGATTAAGGATCTTGAGATGGTGATTATCCTGGATTACCTGGGTGAGTCCCAAATGCCATCACAGCTGTCCTTAGAGGAGGGAGGCAGAGGGCCAGGTGACACAGACAGAAGAAGACAAAGTGGTCGCTGAGGTTAGAGCAGTGTGGTCATAACTGAATCAGAAAGTGTGAGCAGCCACCAAAAGCGGGGAGAGACACAGTACAGATTCTCCCTGAGCCTCTGCAGGGAGACAGTATCATGCCACCAGTGTGTTGTTTTCAGCTCAGTGATGGTAACTTTAGACTTCCGACCTCCATAGCTATGAAAGAATAAAACCCTGTCACGTTAAGACACTACATTTTAGAGGTTTGTTACAATAGCCATAGAAAACTAATATTCCTTGTTTCTTGAAAAGAAAACTAATATTCCTTGTTTCCAGCACGTGGGAGGCTGAAGCAGGAGGACTGCAGTGAGTTCGAGGTTAGCCTGAACTACATAGCGAGAGCCTGAACTACATAGCGAGACCCTGTCTCAAAAAAACCAAAACCAAAAAAGCACAAAAGACTATTTTTCAGATTTGAGAGTTCCTCTGGCACTCTGCTGAGAATCTGTCGATTATAGTCATAAAGAGGGGAGAAATTCCACATGGCCTGCTCTCTGCTGCCTACTGTCCCAAATGTTTCACCACAATTTCATTCAAGTATATCTGTAATGTTCTATGTTCATTTGGTGTAAAATCAAGATTACTGTAGTTAATTTCAGTCCAGGATGGCCTTGAACTTGCTGCATAGCCCAGGCTGTCCTCAAACTCATGATCCTCCTGACTCAGCCTCCTAAATGCTGCGATTACAGGTGCGTGCTTTCACCCCTGGCTTCAGTTTAACAATGCAAAAGGTGAGCCTCAGAAAAGCTGTTAGGAAAGGCACATGTAAATTGTGTAAGTAAACATTCAAACTACACAAGGAGAGGGAAAGAACTTAATTAATTCTTGTTGACTGATTTATGTACTTGAGGAATTACCTGACAGTTTAACACTGCAGGAAAGCAAAGATGCAGCAACTCAGAAAAGAAAATTATTTCTTAAGTAGCTTAAAAAAAATAAGTAGCTTCACATGAACACCAAATAATACAGAGGCTCTTTTCCATATGGTTGTCAATGGTAATAAACCTTCCTGCAGATGAATGGTTTGGGGATAATGTTTTCTAAGAGTAATGCTCAGGCTGAGTGGTTACATCAGGGAGAGGTGTTAACTGATATTAGTATCTTGAATATCACCACACTAAATTTGCCAGTTCCCCTATGATTTAAAACTTCCAGAGACCAGTCGGGTATGGTGGCACACACTTGTAATCCCAGCATTCTGGGAGGCTGAGGCAGGTGGACTAAGGAGGGTAAAAGGGCAGCCTGGGCTACACAGTGAGTTTAAGACCAGCCTGGACTACACAGTGAGACCTTGTCTCAAAAAACAAACAAACAAACAAAAATTCCAGAGACTGGGTAATTACTGCATTACTAGTGAGCTAAAGAAGTCTATACTGATCCACATGATAATATATTTTCATAGATACTGTATATTAACTAGGAAATAGGAATTCTACCCACGGCCTTTTATCAAAGTCAGAGGTAAATCTTGGTCAACTGGCTAAAATGTAATTATTTTAATAATTAGGACTGGTCAAAATTATTTTCAAGCCAGCCATAGTGGCACAAGCCTGTAATCCCACCACTCAGGAGGCTGAGGCAGGAGGATCACCATGAGTTTGAGTCCAGCCTGGGCCACATGGCGAAACCGTACCTCAAAAAACTAAAAAAAACCCAACTTTTCAATGTGTGAATCAAAAAATAAGAAAAGGATTGGAGCATGGTGGCGTACTCCTATAATCTCAACTACTTAGGCTGAAGGAGGAGGTTCTTAAATTCAAAGCTAGCAAGACATTTAGCAAGACATTGTCTCAAAATAGAAAAGTTTAGAGCCGGGCGTGGTAGTGCATGTTTATAATCCCAGCACTCAGGATTGCCAAGAGTTCAAGGCCAACCTGGACTACATAGTGAGTTCAAAGCCACCCTGAACTACAGAGTGAGAACTTGTCTCAAAAATCCAAAAAAGTCAAGGATTTAACTCAGCGGCACCATGCCTGCCTCACAAGTGCAAGGTCCTGAGTTCCATCCCTGGTACTAAGAAAAACAAACAAACAAACAAAAAGGCTAGGTGTGTATCTCACTGATACAGCCCCTACCTATTACTCTCAGTGCCCCGGATTCAATCCCTTCTATCTTGAAGGAGGGGAAACAAAATAGCTAATAATGCTCCTTTTTTTTTTTTTTTGGTCAATAATCGGAATTGAACTCAGAGAGTGCTGAACTATATCCCCAGCTCTTGTAGGTCAGGCTGGCCTGAGTCTCAAGGTAATCCTCCTGCTTCAGGCTCCTGAGCGTTGGGATCACAGCTGTGCACCAGCAGGCCCAACAGCTCTTTTTTTGTTTTTTGAGACAAGGTCTTGCTGTGTAATTCAGGCTGACCTTAAACCATGTAGCTTAGGATGGCCTCAAACTCAAAGCAATCCTCCAGCCTCAGCCTCTTGAGTGCTGGGATTACAGGCATGCAACACCACGCCCAGCAGCTCTTTTCATCTGAGACTAGGTCTCCCTATATTGGCTGGGCTAGCCTCAAATTTATGATCCTCTTGCTTCACCTTTCAGAGTAGCTGGGATTATAGGCCTGTTGCCACCACATCCAACATGCTACATTTCTGCAATGCATGATTTAGCCCATTGTGTACAGATATAAATAGATACTACAAGTTGGGATAATAACCTCTTCCATTTTCTTGCTTGATAGTCATTCTCTTACATTAAGCTATTTCTTGGTTTTAGATTCTGGATACATAAAAGAAACTCAGGTTTCCTCCAGTATATTCTTCAATTGTGAGAAACAAAGGGGATGCCATTCTTTGGAGCAGCATCTGCCAGAATATTGCTCAAGGCAGAAATCTTAATGCAGCAACAGGTTTTTCCACCCTGTGCAATCTTAGGGAGCTGTGGCCCAAGGGTAGCTGTAAAGCCCACATGTCAGAATAATTTAGATTGTGATGGACTCAGTAAACAAACACACAGTGAACCAAATACACCCAGGGCACTTGAACTCTGACCTACAGAGACAGAGAACTGTGTGTCCTCCGCAGTGACCAGCTCTAAACATCGGGACTTACTCAGTGGCTGACAACTTCCTTAGTTTTGTCTCCCAAACCTGAACAAACCAGAGAACACCAAGTATGCTTCCTAAACTGATCATATAAAATGACCCATTTCTAATCGTTCTCCTTCCAACCAAATGTGCTCCTCCAAATCGGTCACAGAAGTGCTCCAATTCTTCCTCCTCCAGCTTCCCTGGGAGAAACACCTCCAGCTGGGGCAAGCTCAAGTGCCCTGACACAGAGCTGCTTCTCGCCACCTTTGATTGCCTCCTCTTGATTCACATTCTCAATCTCTAGCCAGCTTGTTCTCTTGCAGTGGTCTTCATTCATTCCCACGTGAGTGATGATTCTGTGAAGCATCATGATTAACTATGCTGTATACATTTGGAAACTCTAGGCCCCGGGTTTAAGAGGGAAGAACTACTTCAACAGATACAAATAAAAATTATAATAAATTAATACTTAAAAACGTTTCTTTGTGCTGCTATCTAGAAAAGTTATCAATTTAATTGTTTAGTTACCTAATGGATAGGCAAAAAATTTGATTTTTCATTAAGAATTTTCAAATTGCTTTGCACTATTTTTGTGAACAAAATAACTTTTAAAAACCTCTTTTACTGGGGATGGGGACAGGGGATGTTGATTTTCTAAAATTTATTTCCTATAATGAATAAGGTTCTTATATAATTATTTATTTATTTTGGTGCTGGGGATTGAACCCAGAACCTCGAGCATCTTCTATAATCTGAAACATTTCTGAAATAATTTCCTTAAATCCTTATCTTTCTATAATGATGTACATTTTCCCCCTCTAAATCCTTTCCTCAAACTGCGTGACCTCAACCCTAAGTAAAATAAATATTATTAAAGTGAATTTATTAAATCTCAAGAGGCGCATCTGGAAACTAAAACATAATCCATAATGTAGGGAGTGGGAAGTAAAAGCATCTTCCATCGTTCCCAACCGCGTTTCTCCTCTTTATTAAACCTATTTTTCCCGGTAAATAACTGCTGATGGGCAAGGAACCCCGCCCAACAGAGAAGCGGGGAAAGGCTGCGTCGCCAAGCGCCAGCGGCCTCGGCGACCCTGCCCGAGTCCCCTTCCCTCCGAGTCTGGACAGTGACCTTGGGATCACCTTTCTCCACCAGACTCTAACTCCAGCCCGAAGTTACTGGGAGTAAAGCCCCAGCCCCGAGCTTCAGAATCTTCCAGCCCGCCTCATCTCAGCTGAGAATTAACCAGGAGCCACCGGATGGCACTCGTCTCGACCGCGCAGGAGATGCCAACATCGACAGGTGTTTTAGGACGGGTCGTGAGGATGAAAGCACCGAGAGGTCGCCTCAGTGCCCAGGGTACAAAGCCGCGCGCTGCGTCGCCCCGGGCCCTCCCCGCCCAGTTCTCTCCCCGCCCAGTTCTCTCCCCGCCCAGTTCTCTCCCCCTCCCTCTCCCCTCCCCTCCTTCTCCACTCCTCCTCCTCCATCCCTTCTGCCCAGGCTCCCCACCCCCCGAGGCTCACTCCGCCGGGCGGCGCGCCCCGGCAGGGATCCCTCTGCGTCACGCGCCAGAGTTCGCGAGCCTGACAGTCCAGCCCCGCGGCCGGCGCAGCCAATCGCAGCGCAGGCAACCGCAGGGGCGGGTTCGGCCGGGCCGCAGACGTAAGGCTTTAAAGCCGGAGTCGGGGTTGTCGACCGCATCCCGGGACTTCTGCGACCTCCCAGCTGAGTCGCTGCAGGGTGCGCCTGCGCAGCGGCCGTCCAGGTGAGCACCCATTTCCCCCGGCCGCCCGGCGCCCGGCGCAGGCGGAACGCGAACAGCTCTGCGGCCTGCGGGATGGGAACTTGGGGCTAGCGGTGGGCACCCGGGGAGGAGGGGAGCCTTCTGTGGGGGAGGGCCCCCAGGTCCTGTGGATCCCTGGGCCTGGCCCCCACCGCCCTCACGCCCCCAAAACATCTCTGGGGTCCAAGGCCTGAGCAGGCGGCTTCCCCCGGCCAGGTCCGAGCGCCGCGTGGGGCGGCTCAGTGGGTCCCCGGTCCTCGCTCCCGGAGAGGCGACAGATTTTTTAGCGTTCCCACACACCTCACTTGCAGGACATTAGTCAAGAAGAAAGAGTGAGGTGGCATCTTTCCTAACACTAAGGGGGCCCTTCTCCCCAACTTAGGACCAGATAGCCTCATCAGTAACATTTTACCTGTGTGACCTGTATTACCAGGTTAATAACCTGGACCACTGTTTCCTTGTTTTCTAGTTGTTGGCTTAAGATTCCCAACCATGAGTACCTCGAAACTTAACAGAACTCGAGTGATCATTGCACCCTTCCAGTGAAGTTTAACTCACGTTAGGTAGCACTTGTTAGCACTTGGTTTTTCTTTTAGGACCTGAATCAAATACTTGGTTTTTTATTTTACTGAACCCATAGCCTGTTTTTTTTCCGCACACATCCTTAACTTTTTCAGTCTTTGCGTTAATATTGGTTTCTCTTTCTAGGTTTTTGAACCATGAATTTGTCACTTGTGCTGGCGGCTTTTTGCTTGGGAATAGCCTCAGCTATTCCAAAACTTGATCAGAAATTCAATGCACAGTGGGACCAGTGGAAGTCCACACACAGGAGATTGTATGGCACGGTTGGTAACATCTTATCTCTTCATTCAGAAGGGCACTGCACAGTGTAGTGTATTCCTTTCAGTTGGGAGTTTATGGCCAGAGTAGTTTCTAGAGGCTGGCTCTTACCCAAGATGGTCACCTGAGGGCTGCCAGTTGTGAGCGATCTGGGCCAACAACCCCCACAAGTGTAAAGCCACTTCAGGCCAGGGTTTGTCTTCAGCTCTGTCTACAAATCGACCTGGTGAGCATGGGTTGAGTTTTAAGGAGAAAGGAAGCTTATGTCATGTGTGTTTGCTTCTAGAACGAAGAAGGATGGAGGCGAGCGGTGTGGGAGAAGAACATGAGAATGATCGAACTGCACAACGGGGAATACAGTGAGGGAAAACACGGCTTCACCATGGCCATGAATGCCTTTGGTGACATGGTGAGTTTGGCATGCATTGCTTAACTGTGCACTTTCTCTCCTCGCTCTTTACCGAATAATGTCTTGCCTTTTCAACTTTTTAATTTACCTTTCCTTGAAGACCAGTGAAGAATTCAAGCAGGTGATGAATGGCTTTCAACACCAGAAACACAAAAAGGGGAAAACATATCAGGAACCTCTGCTGCTTCAGCTCCCAAAATCTGTGGATTGGAGAAAGAAAGGCTATGTGACTCCTGTGAAGAATCAGGTATGAGAGTGATTCAGACCTTCCAGAGCCCATAGGAAATCTGAGAAGGAAGTTGCATAATCTTTGGTAGACTAGAGGGACAAGCAATTCACTTATTTTTTTTACTCTTTTGTTTTAAATCCCATCCCACCCACCACCTGGACCCTGACCTGGCCCCACAGCAACCTGCTCTGTTTTTAAAGGAGTTCAGTTCCTGTGCATTGGTCACTAAATGAGAAATTGTTTATAGAACAATGAAATGGCCAAAGGAAACTTCAACTTTTGATGGCTTTGCTTTTATTTGCATAACTCATGTGCAGTTATGCAGTATGGTAAGGTAGAACATAAAACTACAGTCCTGTACTCGTACAATCAGCAAAAATTACGGTACTGTACTGTAAAAGAAGCCACCATAAGCCTGCACCACTGCTCACGTTCTTGCATTGTAAGTCCAAATGCAGGTCCTAAGTCCCAGTAGCGGGTAGTAAGTCTCAACAGTAGTTAAACAGGTTGTCGGTAAACAAGGAATATCTATTCACATACTCTATATAAACTATTGTCAAGTCTTTTCTTGTAAACTGTCAGCTTTTTTTTATTCCATTTTCAGGGACAGTGTGGTTCTTGCTGGGCTTTTAGTGCAACTGGGTCCCTGGAAGGACAGATGTTCCGGAAAACTGGTCAACTAGTCTCCTTGAGTGAGCAGAACCTCGTGGACTGTTCTCAGCCTCAAGGCAATCAGGGCTGCAATGGTGGCCTGATGGATTTTGCCTTTGAGTATGTTAAGGAAAATAAAGGCCTGGAGTCAGAGAAATCCTATCCATATGAAGGAAAGGTAAAATGAAACACCTTAGTTTGTCTTCATTCCAGCTATTTTGGGGAAGTGGCACATTTTTCAGAGTTCACTGTAGATGATAGAATGTGTATCTCCAAACTGTCATTCCTTCACTGTAGCCTCTGAACAGTTCCTAAATTAAAGGAACATTTACAATGTGCAAATTGTTCTACATATAATAAAAATGTCTCCATTGTGAAAAGAAAAAATTCTTATGGACAATTCAACTGAGGGATTGTCATTGAAGAAACATCAACTTAATTTTTTGAGTTTGAAATCAACTAATGACATTCTACTTCCTGAGATGATTTATAGCAGTGTTGTCTTGAAAAGCATAAGCTACAAATTGCCATGTGTTTCAGTTCTAAAACTCAGGTCACTTAGGAGAAGGTAAATGATGATAATCGTATCTCATCCTCTTTAACTTTAAAAGGATGGAAGCTGTAGGTACAAGCCAGAGCTTTCTGCAGCTAATGACACTGGATTTGTGGACATCCCTCAGCGGGAGAAGGCCCTCATGAAAGCAGTGGCGGAAAAAGGCCCCATCTCTGTGGCTGTAGATGCAGGCCTTATGTCCTTCCAGTTCTATAAAGATGGTAGGTGGTTATCATCTTACATTGATTGCAGAAATTCAGGCAGAGTCACAGAGCACCATGCTAACTGACTCTAGAATCCTGCTTTAAAAGACTGTATATGATTTGAGTCTGCATTTAACATACTGATAACATATTTCCATTTTGACATAACACTTATCCATGATTATAAACCCTTTGTATTTTTAAATGACTATTTATTAGTCCTATAGATACAACCTAATTTACCTAACTGTTCTCTAATTGCTGTATTTTTAAAATAAATTTTATTTCATTTCTGCCTTAAAGTCCCTTCCCCTCCCTGTGTACAAAAGCTTTGTTTCCATTTTTTTCCCTTCTATTTTCACTTTTTTTCTTGTCCCTTCCTTTCTCTCTCCCTCTTCCCTTGTTCTTCCCATTTGAACACTTTCTTCCCATTTCCCAACATCCATTATGCTATATCTTTTTTCTAAAAGATTTTAATTGGAACTATAAAGGAGCCTATGGCTCAAATACAGGGTTTGGGGTTTGTTTTTTTTGGGAAGGGGACACATTTTTTTTAGACCACCATCTTAAAAGGAAACTACTGGTATTTTGGCTAAGACGTGAATGCCTAAATCACCTTAGTCTTGACAACCATTGGTCTCATTTTTTAGATTTGTTTTTCTTTAGTAGAAATTATCTTGAGACTTACTGAATTTCAAAGACTTTAATTTTTTATTTTTATTTTTTGGTACCAGGGATCAAACTCGGGTCCTCGCGCTTGCGCAGCAGTTGACGAAACCACTTTAATTTTTTATTTTTATTAGTGTGTTTGCAGTACATAATGGTACATTCATCCTAAGGAGTTTTGGTACATGTACATAACATATCTTCTTTTTACCACCCCCACCCCCCATTTCTTGGTTCCCTTCCCATTAATTTCATGGATTTCTGGTGAATAGAGGTTGACTCTCTTTATCAGCCATTACCATGTTCTTACACAGAATTTGTTTATGGCATTTCCCTGAATAAATGTTGAGGTTCCTTCCTGCTGTGAATGACAGGATGGGTCATTGCCATGTGTCATTGGGAACCTCTCACCCCGTGTTGATTTTACTCTCCCAGGCATTTATTTTGATCCAGAATGCAGCAGCAAGGACCTGAATCATGGTGTGCTGGTGGTTGGCTATGGTTATGAAGAAGTAGATACAGAGAAGAATGAATATTGGCTTGTCAAGAACAGGTATAAAACTTAAATATTAAACTGGTATTTGAAATTGAAATGAGACTTATTACTTGTGATCAGTGTTTGGATATAGGTTGGAGGAAGCTCAGTGTTGAAATGTCAAGCCTTTCTCCCTCTAAGAGTGAACACAGCCCTACTCATGTTTGATTATAAGATTCTGTGCCAAGCTTGTTGAAGTTATTCCTTTTTTTTTTTTTTTTTTTGGTACCAGGGATTGAACTTGAGACCTTGTGCTTGCCATGCAGGTGCAGCGCCACTGAGATACATCCCCGGCCCTTATGTATTTGTAACACTGCATTCTAAATTCTGAAAATTTTCTCATTTCTGAAACATTTGGCTCCAAGGGCTTCAGGAAATGAATTATTATGTAGGATTGTGGGCTGATTTCCTTTTTCTGATCCAGTATTTTAGTGAGATAAAGCAAGTAGAAGCATCTGCCTGTGCTGATTCTTTGTCAAGTTTGAAAGATAAAGCATCTGCCAGCCTGTGTGCTTCCTTTCCATTGTCATTTGATGCTCTGCCATTGGTTCTGTTTTTTGAGACAGGGTCCTGCTATGTAGTTCAGGTTGGCCTTGGAACTCACTATGTAGCCTACACAAGGCTTGAGCTCATGGTGATCCTCCTGCCTGAGTCTCCTGAGCACTGATTACAAGCAGGCACCACCACACCTGGTTTGCCACTGCATTTTATTCTCAGTTCTCAGAGGCCTCAGAGGTTGTCAGGATCAGTTTTCTGAACTAATTTCCTTTAACTGAAGAGTAATTTAAGATAGCCTGTGGAGAAGGACTGTTACACAGGAATCCCAGTTCTGCCTCAGTTTCTTATCTTGTAAAAGATGCATAGGAATTAATATAATTGCATTCTGTGTATATAGATATGATGTGTATATAGATATGATAGATACGTGGTAAACACTGTGTTTAAGTGTTAGCTATTAATTAAACTAATTTTTTTCTCTTTTTTAATAAAATAAAAAACCTGTTTCAGCTGGGGTCCAGAATGGGGTGCAGAAGGTTATATAAAAATAGCCAGAAACAGGAACAACCACTGTGGCATTGCCACTGCGGCCAGCTATCCCAGTACATGAGCTGATGGACTACGGTGGCGGAGGACTGAGGACAGCATGTCTGGAGGAATTTTACCTGAGCACTGACCGAACCCTTATTGTGTAAGACAAAACACTTGAATCATTGAGGATTCAATTTGTGATTTGAATTCTGTGACATTTTTACAAGGGTAAAAGGTTACCATTGTTTTAACTACTGTTATATAAACAGCTGTATAATATTGAGAATTCATTGCTTAATTCTAAATCTTTCAATTTTCATTTTTTAAAAGAACATAAATCTTTACCTATTAAAATAAATATTAGTTCAGTGTATGGAGTGAGCCTTTTTTTTTGTACCGGGGCTAGAACTCGGAACCTTGTGCTTGTGCGGCAGGCGACAGCTTTTTATAATGCATTAACTTTGTATACACACAAGATATCATTCTACTCTATAAAGACAGCTCTGTGGCAGTAGTACATTAGGGGAATTGTCAAAGGTGCGGGTAGACTTAACTTTTCTAGTGAAAAACAAATTTTAACCTGTGCGTAGCGGCGCACACCTGTAGTCCCAGGTACTTGAGAGGCTGAGATAGAAGGATCAAGTCAGCCTACATCTTCAAGTCCACCATGCACAAGAGTGAGACCCCATCTCAAATCAACCAAAAAATATTTCAATCAGCTTTTCATTGTGTGTGCCTTAACCCAACACTGATTCATAGTTGTATTTTTACTTAATTATATATGGGTTTGCAATATGTTTTAACACATTACATTTGTACAGTGATTGAATCAGGCTAGTAAAGATATCCACTGCCTCAAATACTTATTTCTACATTGTGACAATTTAAAATCATAGCTACTGTATTTTGGTTTTTTTTTTTTTGAAATGATCAGATCTACGATTATAGCGGTTATTTTGCAATGAAACAAACGGAGGACACAAACAGGTGTTTTTGGGGTTTTTTTTGGTACCGGGGATCGAACTCCGGTCCTTGCCACTTGCACAGCAGGTGGCAAAACCACTGAGCTAAATCCCCGGCCCCTATATTTTAAATTGTATAATTCATTACTGTTAACTGTAGTCACCCTCTGTGGAGTAGAATGCTGGGACTTACCCAACACTTGTATCTAGCAAGATGTGATAAACTATCCAGAAGGACAGTTTACTTACTAGGAAAGTCAACAAAGATTTGTGGGTTTAGATTCTAGAATGGGAGATCCCTTCCTTTGACCCAGGATGGCTAGATACTTAATGAGGGTCACGTTGTTAGGACACCTTTGCAGCCTGAGGACGGACAGACTGGTGGATGGCCAGGGCTGTTTTGTTTTTGTTCTGTCAAGTTTCTGATGACATTCCACATAGCTCTTACAGCCAAACTACATGTTACTACTCAGTGTTAGCAAAACTCAATTTAACAGTTGTGATTAATAAATCTCAGATATTTGCTAATAGAGAAATGTGTTAAAGGTCCACAAGAGATTAGCCTATGCCACAAAAATACTCCTCTTGCCTTAGAAGATGGGCATGAAATCACAAAGGGAGGATAGGACAGAAGTCACTAGGCCAAACTTAGATTTGGCTACCTCATCCTTGTCTTAAATTCGGGAACAAAATAGGCTAAGCATATAGTTATACAGGTAGTAAACAAAAAACAGTATTTGCTTATTTAAAGGGCTGGAGAGAAGTATGCTGAACTTCCGTGTGAATTACGGGTGCTTATTTTCTGCAGAAAGCACTTTTATTTTTGTTGGTTTTGAGATGGTCTCACTATGGATTTGAACTCTCATGATCCTCCTGCCTCAGCCTTCCAAGTGCTGAGATTATAGGTGTGTGCCACCAGACCCTGCAAGAAAAATTTTTATTAAAAAATATCCTGCAAGCTAAACAAGTATGTGTGTATGTGTGTGTATAAAAGCCTAAAACCTGTGACTGTAGGTTTATGTTCCCAGTCAAATAAAATGCAAATGATGGGCTGGTACCATACTTCTTTAAGCTGTAATCCATTGTGAAAGTAATGAGTAGAAACAAATGGAACCTTATACTATAAAAATAAAAAGGGCTGAGGATGTAGCACAGTAGGACAGCACATACCTAGCATGAGTAAGGCCCTGAGTTTGATCCCAACACCACACACAAAAAAGTTTCATATCTGTCAAAGCAGACCCTTCACATACCTAAATTATAAGATAGTTGAAAGTTTTATAATTTTCAAAGACCTTTAAAATATCTTGCAAAATCCCAAACCATATCATCTAAAAGCATTGTTTTGCTGGACATAATGGCATACTGCTGGGCTCAAAACTTGTAATCCTTCTGCTTCAGCCTTCCAGGATGCTAGGCTTGCAAGCATATGCCGTCACACCCGACTATGTTCAGGTCATCTATGTGCATTAAAGCCTGGAATTCAAACCTCTTGAGTTCCCCTTTCATTTATTCCACTTTTTTTTTTTTTTTTTTAGCACAGATACAAGTAGCCAGTCAATATCCTACTGATTTAGTGTGACAGATATTGTAAGGTATGGATCCATGGCTTACAACACTGGCAGGGTTCCCATTTTCCAGTTTCCAGGGAAAATTCCTTTCTACAGAAAAATCTCACTTTTTGCCTCTAAATTCTGTTGGGGAGACCTGCACATATGATGGATTGGGAATGTACGATATGCAGTGTCAACCGAGATCAACCATTGCACAATACCTTCACGGTTCACCTAGGTGAGTGAGCAACATAGAGTAGCCAGGTGCAACACACACAATCTCACCACTGCAGGAACTTTGCCTTTGCTGCTTTCCCACCTTCCAGCCCCCCAACACACATTCTTTAAATGTTTTCTATTCCTTTTGTCTTTCTAACATTTCAAGACAACCCCAGGAAATTCTTACTGTTGCCAAATTAATACATTCTGGGTGGAGATGTTTTTCTTAAATGCTGTTTATGGCATGAAGTCCTCCCACTCTAGTTTTGACCAGGAAGTGTCTTCAGGATTTTGAGCTCCAGGAATGAGGGCACCTATTCAACAAACATTGCACTGATACAGGAAATAATACCGGAGATGAAAACATGAAACATATCTCCCAACCTGCTAGCTGTATGACATGCTGAGCTCTCATTCTCTAAACATCGAAGAACATTTTAGGAAAAACAGGTTAAGAGTAGGAAGATATTTATTGATAGGAAAGCTTCTGAAGGTCAGGAGGGGTCCTGAGTGGGTAGCTGGGGACTCTGCTTTACAGAGGAGTTTTATAGGGTGAAATCCTCGTGGGTACAATGTGGGCCAGAGCCATGATCACCCAATAAGGTTACAAGTATAGTCACTTAGGTAATGGTGGTCCAACTGGGCAACAAGTCACATAACAAGCATGGATGGAAAAAACAAAGACTCTCCTAAGAAGTGGTGGGTCCAGAGGTCTCTGGTTACCCACTAGGGTGGCTGATGTCTATCTACACTTCATTAGGCCCAGTATTTGTTCTTTGAGGAAGTAAGTCCGGTCGTCTTGTCTTTATCTTGAGGCCCGGTTTCCAACCAGTATGTGTCACAGCTATGATGTTTCACCTTTGTCCTGTCCCTCTCGAGGATCGAGCCCTATCTGTCTATAATATTACTACCTAACTCATCTGACTATAATACCATGACCTAAAGCCTATTTCTCTGATCTAAAGCTGCTTCTCTAACAAAACAATTGGGCCGGGGGTTTAGCTCAGTGGTCCGGCCGCCTGCCTCGAAAGCCCAAGGACCTGAGTTTGATCCTCGGTACCAAAAAAAAAAAGTAACAAAACAATCACCAAGTGATTCATGTTACACAATTTCCTTTGCCACTGAACAGATTCCAGAAAACTCAGCATTAAGGACTAAGGGTCTCTTGTTTTTTAACTAGGTTGGAATTTGATGCTTCTGCTGTGATGAGAGAGTCTAAAGCAGTGGTGGTGAACATATGGCCTATGTGCTACAGGGAGCTGATTGTATCATTTCTTCTTTTTTTTTTTTTTTTGGTACTGGGGATTGAAATCGTGTCCTTGCGCTTTCAAGGCAGGTGCCGGAACCACTAAGCTAAATCCCTGGCCCCTGATTGTATCATTGAAAGCTCTAAAAGGTTTGCCATTGCTGATCTAAGGTTTCTCATTTTTGTTATGTGTATTCCTTCTTTTCCAGGAAATCCTATTGCTTAGCACCATTCCTGGAGCACTTGGTCTACGTGCTTTTCAAAGCAGGATTTGGCAAGGTGAAGCGTGGAAAATTGTGAGCACAGAAGTTGTTTTTGTTGGTCCACCATGACATTTTATAGCCAAAGTTTTATTTGACACACTGAAATTAATTCACATGACTCTGGAGAGAATAAACCCTGAGAGAGAGCGAGAGCCCTCTAAAGGAGTGATGAGTCATTTAGTCAATGGATCTTATTGTGGGAAAAGAAACACATAGTCTTGCTTATGAAGTATAATTTTCAAGTGGAAAAAAGCAAGTATATGCAGCCAAGACTCTCCAACAGTGTATTTAGTTTTTGCTTTATTTTCTGGTACCAGGGATCAAACTCAGGACCTTGCGCTTGTCAGGCAGGCGCGGTGCCACTGAGCTAAATCCCCAGCTCCTCCAACAGTGTTTTTAATGGAGTCAAATCCCTGTGGTTTGTATATTTTTTCCTTTAATCTTGGGCATTTTGTTTCTTTTTCTGAGAACGTAACTTGAAACACTACAGAGCCAATAATCCTATACAGAGTATATTCTCCGAAGCTGTACAGTTTTATATACCTTCACAATGTACTTTGCTGCCGTCTAGATAATTTATTTTGCAACACATTACTGCACAGTTGTAAATAACACATACAGTAACATCGCTTTCAGTTATGTGTAAATAAATTAATTAATTAAAATGCTCTTTGTATAAAAGAAAAAAGTAAGTATGTAGGGATAGGGGGCCCTGTAGACAGGGACAAGAGAGGATGAAGAGGGCTGGGGATTTAGCTCAGTGGTTTCACCACCTGCTGCGCAAGCACAAGGACCCGAGTTCGATCCTCAGTATCAAAAAAAAAAAAAAAAGAAAGAAAAAAGATAGGATGAAGGCTGTCATGCCTGACTTAGGTGAGATCTTCATGAGCAAACAGGCTGCTTTCAGCAAATGACAGGCTATTTCTTTTCTTTTCTTTTTTTTTTTTTTTTTGCTACTGGGGATCAAATTCAGGTCCTTGAGCTTGCAAAGCAGGCGGCAGAACCACTCAGCTAAATCCCCGGCCCTATAGGCTATTTCTCAGTAAACAGAAGAC